ACTGGCAAAACAATTCTTATGATATAGCTGCTCACCCAGATCTATAAATGCTCTGATACGTGCATGGTCTTCATGCTGTTTGCCTTTTGGCATCCTCTGGTCTGGCACTTTTGAGAGTAGGCCATAAAGAAGACTGTCTCTGGTGTAGGCCAATCAGTTTTAAAAAAACAATGCATATATTAGCGGAGCATGTTCACCACAAGTACGTGTGGTTAATGCGGACTTGATTCCTTGAAAAAGGTATCTGCTTGGTGTTTGAACATCTTAACACCACCTGTTGTATTACCAGAAAGGTTAAAACCTCTTCAACACGTCGGCTTTCGCGAATATAAATGTGGCGTTAAAGCAGCCACCACCAGACACAGCCAATTAGTAAGGTTTGCCACGTAAACAAAACATATCAAATTTCGATTTAAAGCTTTCGTGACTGCAGGGATTCATCTTCTTGGTTTTTTCGGTAAAGTCACGTAGAAGGGAAGTAATAAAATAATAAAAATAAAACATAATAAAATAATTCTCACGACGTTTCGGCTACAACGCAAGCAGCCGTCTTCAGGTGAAGACGTTTCGGCTACAACGCAAGCAGCCGTCTTCAGGTGAAGATGTTTCGGCTACAACGCAAGCAGCCGTCTTCAGGTGAAGACGGCTGCTTGCGTTGTAGCCGAAACGTCGTGAGAATTATTTTATTATGTTTTATTTTTATTATTTTATTACTTCCCTTCTACGTGACTTTACTGAAAAAACCAAGAAGAAAAAAACATATCAATTCGTTACTAGTATAGCACACCGGTGTGTTGGAATGTAAACCCACAACATTTACAATTCGATTACGACGTTTTGCCAGTAATTGCAACTAGCATCATCGGGCGACAGACAGATTTGTGGAGAAATCCTCCTGTTTCGTTCTTAAAATGAGGGATACATATGATGTCGTCACTTGTGATCCAATCTATTCTTAAACCTATTCTTATTTTTCATATGACATGGAGCATTTGGCTGCTATACATTTCTAAGTGACAATAGTTAGCCACTTCGTTGAGCTATCATTTGTGATGGTCTGGTCGCGTCTCAAAAATAGCTACATTGCACAGTCGGCCTTACCTGGTAAAAATTTAAAATGAGTTTTGAATATTACTTGGTTAAAATAGTTTTAAATAGCTACATTGCACAGTCGGCCTGACCTGGTAAAAATAAAAAGTAGTTTTGAATATTACTTGGTTAAAATAGTTTTAAATATTACTTTGTAAAATAAAATAAAAATAAACCTCCAAGACGATCTGCACCAGCATGGAAGGGGGGGATGCTCTAAAGAGCTCCCGCTATAGTCGAGGCCCCTATCGCAAGGCAATGTGGTGTGAGCATTTGCAGGGCTGCGTCTTTACCTTTTTGTTGTTGTTGTTGTCCGAGACGTGGTATGCAAAAGCAGTTCACGTCACATCTGCAGCCAATCAGAAGCGCTATCGATTGACGGCAGCGTTCAAAGGGGATTCTGAAAGAATCGAATCACGATCTCGAATCGATCCTTGTCACAATCAATCGATTATCTATCAGCATCACGATTATCCATAATAAAGGTGTTTTGTGGGTTCGATCGGGTAATTGCCAGATGGTGGTGGTTGTTATCGTCACAGTACTCGGGTTGTAAATGTTGTAGTGGGTTTACTCTCCAACACACAACCGGTGAGTGCTGAACTAGTAACTAAATTGCCACGTTTTGTTTACGTGACAAACCGTAAATTAATTGTCACTGTCGGGTGGTGGCGGGTTTTACGACACATATTTACGCAATCTAACCCCCCCTCCTCCACCAAAACAAACAACCATCTTTATTATGGCTATTACGTGTCTGGTGGTGGTACTTGTGTAGTGACTAACTCGGAGACACGAAGAGTAGGAGGCACTCTATTTATTCAACAGCCTTAGCAGTTCACACTTTAGCAACTTCGGTTCCCGCTTAGGACAGCTGGCAGACTGCCTCACTGGCGACGCCGCCGCGACGGTGAAAGCGGCGACAGCGACGAAGACTCCAGCAGCAGCACAACGGAGATCCCACTCCAAACGACAGCCCCGAGGTCCCCTCCCGGGGCCCCTCCTACACTGTGGGTGTGGCCTGCTGGCTCCGCCCCCAAGGCCACGCCCACTTTCTGGAACCCACGAGCGGTTTCTCGATGTGCCCCTTCCGTGACCTTTCCCCTACATCCCTCTCTCTGGTCTATCACGTGACCTGCTGTCAGTCAGGGCTGCTGTAAGCTGCAGATCCCCCTTCCCTACCAGCAACCAGCGCTGTGCTGCCACGTGACCAATTCTATGTCACTACACTTGTATCAATATATCAGAAAATGTATTGATACAGGAGGAATCCAATCAGCTATAAAGCTATTTTTTTCACACATGTCCAGTCGGGGTGGGTTTCCACAGTTCTCAAAGCTCCTGACCGTATTCTCATGCATGTGTGTGTGTGGACGTGTGCATGTGTGCGTGCGCGCGCGTGTGTATATATATTTGAGGGCAGTGGTAATATTAATGCCTAAGGGTTAATCTGTTATATTTGCTTCATATTTTAAAATATGCATTTCGCTGTCGCATTAAAACACCCTTCTCGTCACGCTTTTTTCAAACATCGCTCCGCCGCGAACGGTGGCCCAACGAGTGACTACCTGCAGTGGTTGTACAAAAGACTCGCCCCCCTCCCCCCGTCATATGAACGTGGACAACCATTGGCTCAGAGCGCTGTAAACATCATGATGAGCACTACCACAACACCTTTTAGCCGTACGGCGCGCCGCTCTTTGTTGTGAGCGTCGCTCCTCCACCCTCCGTTTGGTGTTGGAGGGCGACTGTCTCCAACTGCCCAGTAGCAGTGTCCTTCACGAGCCTCCTCCACAGAGGCCGATCTTGACACCGCTGGTACCGGTCATCAGCAAGCCCACTCAGCTCCACATCCTCCTCTACCGCATCAGCTCCATCTCTTCTCTAGCTTGTGTAAAGCCCGATTACCACTCTCTATTCGGCCAAACAGAAGTTGCTTGGGCATGGAGGCTACATGGCCCATATAAAGACACATCACCAGGATAGATATTTTAGGCTGTTGGGGCAAGTTCTGTTAGCGAACACCGATTAAGGCCGGCACAGCACACGGCCAAGACCACGCCTGATATTTACACCGATGACCAGGTATTGTTATGAGGTTTGGTCGACCTAGGGGAGGCCCAGGACTGGCTCATATACTGCCCACTGATGTTGGCCGTGGCTGGAAAGCGAACTCGGGAAATCGGATTCGCCGGGCAGTGCGCTGGTTACTGCGCCACCACTCCCACGAAAGTAATTAATAATTCATATCGTTTGGATCCCACTAGATACATGTATTTTTACATTAACAGTAAATCGCACGGGGAATTAAAATATTCGTAGATTTATCCCTATTCACAATGGTCTCTCACGCAGTTAAATAGTTAAATAAAGGAGTTGAATCCATACTCATACTGGTAGGAACCTCCTGGTTACAACAGCCCACAGGGGATTATTGTGTCCGTCGTGCAGGGAGGGGCTGGGTGGGGAGGGAGGGGCTGGGTGGGGAAGGGAGGTTGGGGAGGGGCTGGGTGGGGAGGGCCTGGGTGGGGAGGGTGGGGAGGGGCTGGGTGGGGAGGGTGGGGCTGGGTGGGAGGGGTGGGGCTGGGTAGGGAGGGGCTGGTCACCCTGTGGTGCCCTTATAAAACAACGTTTAACCTACTCACGCCGGCTTGTGCCCGCCCTCACAGTCGGCCATATTTGCGGAATACACCACGCCGCCGTTGACTCTGGCCATTGACCGAGCAACCCAACGTTCCTACCAGCTCCCTCCGCAGGAGGAATGTGTTTTAAATCTCCCACCAGGGCCTCCTCCCGTCGCTGAAACCTGCGAATCTCAATGTTCACGATTGGCTCCTCACGCAGCACTGGCAAGTCTCGTCTTGGCGGACGTCTGCACCTTCCGCAAGATGACGCGAGTCGCTCTCTTGGAGTGCTCCACTTGTCTTCCAGATCTTCCAGATCCATCGTCGCCATTCTAATCAGCCGTGATCTAGCAACTGCTGGATGAAGGGCCTCCTCCCCAAGCGAGATGTTAACTACCTCGCCTGGTCTACAGGAGGTCGTGGGTTCGATGCCGACCCTGACGCCTGCTGCTGTATATTTGGAGTTTGCGTGTTTCTCCCCGTGGTCGCGTGGATTTTTCGACAGTTCCTCCGGTTTTCCGCTCCACATTTAGAATCGACACTGCGCGTTTAGAGTATTTTTGGTTGCTCAAAATTTCCACTTCGTCGAGCTATCATTTGTGGCCAGGTCGCTTCAGAAAAAGAGCTATATAGCTCAGTGGACCTTACCTGGTAAAACATAGTGAAATAATGGGATCCGTCACGATCTCGCGATGCAACAATCCACCCAGCGCCTGCACTGCCTGCACTCGAGCCGATTCCATGGCTCCATCTCCTGCGGTGGGCCGCCCTTCGCCGTTTCGACTGCCAATCCGTTGTTAGTCTCGACCGTCGACCACCGTCGTTTCTCTTTGCCCACAGGGCCCGCCTACTCTCCTCACAACCCCGCCCACATCCAAAGTAACTCCCCCTACTGCTCAGGTAACCCCGCCCACAGCTCAGGTAACTCCGCCCACAGCTCAGGTAACCCCGCCCACAGCTCAGGTAACCCCACCCACTGCTCGTTTAGACCACACCCATTGCAACGGAGGTCCTCTCCGCCTGGAGTAACGGCGTTGCGGGGGCTGCGCCTGTACCCTTCGTTCACATTGAGACGAGGCCAGCGCCTGAGAAGGCCACGTGGTCACCTCCGGTCGTCAACCAATCAAAGGAGCTCCCTGACGTTCCGCTCAATTGACAACGCAAGACGGTTTGACTTTATTAGACCTTACATTAATGATTTTATTTGCAATGACTTACATTTACCTTGACAGGCCATTTACACATCCGCACATCGCACCCGCGCACACAAAGACAGAGACGCCCCGCACCCCTCCCCCCCCACCCCCCGTATAACCCACACTGACTGTTGGGGCACGTGCTGCAAACGAGTAGCAACTATGAAGGCCGGCACGCCTCAGAAGGGGGTGGGAGGCCAACACCACGCCCGGCCGCCATTATCTCCCCAGTAGCAATGTTGACACATTGCACCACGTGCTCATGTGAGGCCAAGTCGACCGAATCGTCGCTGGCGTCGGTAGCAGCGAGCGGGAATCAAACTCTGGTTGCCGGGTTCGTAGCGCAGCGCACTAACCGCTACACACAACACACGCGATTCCAGGAGCGAGGTAATCTGCTTCCGGTTCAGCCGTTGAATCCGATTGGCTCAGACCCAGACGTCTATTGTGACGTCGCGAGGCTGTTGTGACGAACACGTGGCGATGGCCACTGCCCACTGGGTCGTTGGTTCCGCATTGAGACACGGGGTCACTCCCCTTACCTTGTGGTCAGATGTGATGGCCCAAAACGAAGGCACGCACGAGGCTACCTCACGACGGCGGGTGGTCGTAGCCAGGTGCAATGAGGCCATATTTGGGGGCCACGGTGGCGAGATGTTAACTCCCTCGCCTGGTACGCAGAAGGTCTTGATTTCAATCCCTACTCCGATGCCTGCTGTGTATTTGGAGTTTGCATGTCTCTCTCCCCCCTTGGATTTTTCTCCGGGTCCTCCGATTTTCGCTCCGCATTTAGAAAGACGCGTTTAGAGTATTTGGCTGCTATAAATGTCCACGTGACAAGCCACTTTGTTGAGCTGTTATTTGTGATAGCCAGATCGCTTTTGAAAAAGAACTACATAGCTCAGTGGGTCTTACCTGGTAAAATAACAAACAAAGTTTTAAATATTGTCTTTAGTTAGGCCACGTGGTAGTAATTGTGTTACAATTGAATTGCTTATTTATCCCGAACAATTCGCCACTTCGTGGCGGTGACGTCACCACCGTGTTTGTGCCAGGCTAGGTGCACTTTGAGGCTACGTGCAGTGTTGAAGGCTCCGCTGGCAGGAGGTCACATGACAGACCCCAGCAGGTGCCGTGGGTTGACTTGACCGGGGTGACCGCAGACGCCCCGACTGCGCTTCCCCCTACCGCGCCAACTCGCTGAGTTTTATCCGCTCAGCACTCCGCTCGTTGTTGTGAGCGTCGCTATTCTCCACCCTCCGTTGTTGCTGGAGGGCGACTGCCTCCAAGCTTCCCCAGCAGCAGCAGCAGCGTCCTTCACGAACCTCCTCCTCCTCCGCAGAGGCCGCCGACCTTACCGCCACCGGCCATCGGCAATCCCACTCAGCTCCACACCCTCCTGCACCACACCGCCTCACCCCGCACAACTCCCCCACTCTCACCTGACCACACGGCACACCGCCACTACGAACCCTGCCCCCCTTCCTCCTCCTCACCCCCCCACACCGCGGCCACTCAGAGGCGGTCGCCCTGCAGGTGGTGCGCGCCCTGGAACGCCGCCGCGTAGGCCGAGGCCTGTGGCCCCCCTCCGGCGGCGGGGGACGGCGCCGGCGGGGAGACGCCTCCGCCGGCCGCGATCATCGCGCCCGCCCCCTGGGGCATGTAGCCGTAGCCGGCCACGGCGTAGCCCGGCGACGCCACGTACGGGTAGGGCTCGTAGGCCGCGGCAGCGGCCACGGCGGCGTTGTACTGGGCCGCGTAGGCCGCGGCCGCGGCGGCCGAGGAGTAGTCGAGGTACGGGGAGGAGGAGGCGGCGGCGGCGGCCGCTGCGGCCGCGGCGGCGGCGGACTGCGAGGAGGAGGAGGAGAGCGACGGGGAGCCGGCGGCGGCCGCGGCGGCCGCGGCCGCCGAGAGGCCCGGGGCGTGCGCCATCATGAGGCTGGGCTGCACGAAGGCCTGCGGGTAGACGTACTGGGCCTGCAGTCTGCGGGCGGTGGTGGTGGGCAGGGGTGGTGCGGGGGATGGAGAGGGGTGGGGGGAGAGGGGTGGGGGGAGAGGGGTGGGGGGGAGGTGAGGTGGGGAGGTGGGGGGAGAGGTGGGGGGAGAGGTGGGGGAGAGGGGGAGAGTTGGGGGGAGAGGTGGGAGAGGTGGGGGGAGAGGTGAGGTGGGAGAGGTGGGGGGGAGGAGAGGTGGGGTGGGAGAGTTGGGGGGAGAGGTGAGGTGAGGGGAGAGGAGAGGTGGGAAAAGAGGTGGGAGAGTTGGGGGGAGAGGTTGGGGGAGAGGTGGGGGGAGAGGAGAGGTGAGGTGGGAGAGTTGGGGGGAAAGGTGGGGGGAGAGGGGGGGGGGGGAGAGGAGAGGTGAGGTGAGGTGGGAGAGGTGGAGGGAGAGGGGGGGGAGAGGTGAGGTGAGGTGGGAGAGGTGGAGGGAGAGGTGGGGAGAGAGGTGAGGTGGGAGAGGTGGGGGGAGAGTTGGGGGGAGAGGTGGGGGGAGAGGTGGGGGGAGAGGTGGGGTGGGAGTTGGGGGGAGAGGTGAGGTGGGGTGGGAGTTGGGGGGAGAGGTGGGGGGAGAGGTGGGGGGAGAGGTGAGGTGGGAGCGTTGGGTGGAGAGTGATGGGCGAGGAGGTGGACGGGGGAGATGCGGACGGCACGAGACGAGGGTAGAGAGAGAGAGGGCGAGGTGGGGTGGGGAATGCGAGGAGGGGGGAGGGCAGCGATGGACAGAGAGCGAGGGACCGATATGGACAGAGAGGGGCGGGGAGGGAAGGGCATAGAGGAGAAAGCAGAGCATCAGCTGTCCCACTCACTCCACCTTGTCACGGTGTTATATATACACATCACTCACGACACACACTGTACACTCACCACATGCCACGCTCACCACACCACACGTTACACACCCCACGTACAGCGCACAGCACGTACTACACACCCTCACCACCACTCCCTCACCACCACACCCTCATTAAACCCACACTACCACACCCTCACCACACCCTTACCACCACACCCTGACCACCACATCTCACCACCACACCCTGACACCACACCCTCACCACCACACCCTCATTACCACACCCTCACCACACCACACCCTCACCACACCATCACCACCACACCTTCACTACCACACCATCACCACCACACCTTCACTACACCATACGCAGGTTGTACCGCGTGGAGCTGAAGAAGGACGCAGAGCGAAACGTCGGACATTGTGCGTCAATCACTTCTCACGCAGTGTACACAACAAAGACGAATACAGTACTGCACAAAGAACCCCCGCGTAGCCTGTAACAGACTGTAGGGGCAAGTGCTGTTAGCGAGCACCTATGAAGGCCGGCATGGCACACGAGGGGGTAGGTGGCCAGCACCACGCCCGACCGCCTTTGTCTCCCCAGTGACGATGTTCAATACGCACCGCACCTAGGCACGCATTTCAAGCTGAGTCGACCTAGGGGAGGCCCAGGACCGATTCACACACTTATGGCTGTTATTGGTCTTGAGTGGGAATCGAACTCGGGTCCGCTGGGTATGTAGTGCAGAGCGCTAACCACTACACCACCATTCACCTTCAACAAGGATCACACACACCACGTCTCACGCAGTGTACACAACACAATGGTCACGCACAGTTCACCCGATACACGATTCACACCGAATACTCACCCAACACAAAATGCCTCCACACTGCACAACACCACCACAGCATCCAACACGCAGCGAACAGTAAAAACCCAAGGCACCACAAACCCACGGCACCACGAACCAAAGCACCACAAACTCAATGCACCACAAGATGAAGACACCACAAATCTAGAGCACCGCATACCAAGGCACCACAAACTCAATGCACCAAAAGATGAAGACACCACAAACCCAGGCATCGCATACCAAGGCACTACAAACTCAATGCACCAAAAAATGAAGACACCACAAACCCACAGCACCACTAATCAAAGCACCACAAACTCAATGCACCAAAAGATGAAGACACCACAAACCCAAGGCATGACATACCAAGGTACCAAAAAGTCGAGGCACTAGAAACCCAGGAACTACATACCACGGCATCAAACTGAAGGCACTACAAACACAAGGCACCACAAACTAAAGGCACTGCAAAATGCACCACACTACTCAAGGCAACACAATCCCATGGCAACACAAACTCAAGGCACCACAAATGCAAGGCACTACCAATCGGGACACTACAAGTCCAGGCACCACAAGATCAAGGAAATACAAATGTACAGTCAATACAAAGCCAGGCACTGCAAAACATCGTAAAAGCCTTTGCCTGTGTCTGGCCTCGTGCTTCATTTTCAAAGCTGCTCATCGTGTGGGTCCCACCCTGGTCCACGCGCACACATCTCTGACCTCCACACCGAGGGCGCCTAACGTGACCCCAACACCTAGGAAGCCAACGTGACCTCCACTCCTAGAGGGCCATCGTGACCTTTACACCTAGGGTGTCGAACGTGACCCCAACACCTAGGGAGCCAACGTGACCTCCACTCCTAAGAGGGCCATCGTGACCTTTACACCTAGGGTGCGAACGTGATCCCAACACCTAGGGAGCCAACGTGACCTCCACTCCTAAGAGGGCCATCGTGACCTTTACACCGAGGGTGCGAACATGACCCCAACACCTAGGGAGCCAACGTGACCTCCACTCCTAAGAGGGCCATCGTGACCTTTACACCGAGGGTGCGAACATGACCCCAACACCTAGAGGGCCAACGTGTCCTCCACACCTAGGAATCCAACGTGACCACCCCTGGGGCCAACGGGACCTCCACACGTATGGAGTCAACGTGACCTCCCCTAGGGGGCCAAGGTGACGTGACCTCCATACCTCGGGGGCCAACGTGACCTTCACACCTGGGGCGCCAAAGTGACCACACCATGGGCCGTGACCACAGCCCATCGTGTGGATGTGGTTAGCGACAGACCACGTCGCCACACATTCCCGACGAGGGCCCACTGACTGGATTCGACGGTGGACTCGGGTGGACCACACCGTTGATGAAGTGGCTGTTGCCTGGCTCGGTAAGATGAATAGACAACATTTAAAAGTAGTTGGGTGGGGTAAGAGGCCTGCACAAGTTCGACTGAGGCTGGAGAACTGGGAGCCACATCTGCGGTGGAGCTCCGAGTTCCTATCTAACTTGGTTCGATGGATGAACTCCAACGTAAAGCTGTTAGGCTAAAATGTATGTCCCTGTGCTCACTCTCAATGTGACACCACGGTCAAGACACAACAAACCCAGGCAATACAAACCTGGGCCAAAAGAAAACCCAGGTTTAAATATGGACAAAAAACCAGGCCCAACAAACTGGACCTAATAAACCCAAGGCCAAACAAACCCAGACGTAACACCCCAGACTGAGCCAAAACAAACCGAGGCCAGACAAACCCAGGCCTAACCCAGACAAAACACAGGCCTAGCAAATCCAGAATAAACAAACCCAGGCCGAATCCAGACGAAACAAGCCCAGAATAAACACACCCAGATCAAACAAGCCCAGACAAAACAAAACCAGACAAAATAGACCTCGGCAAAACGCACCCAGATCAAGCAAGCCCAGAATGAACAAAACCAGACAAAATAAACCCACACAAAAACACATCTAGACAAAACAAACCCACACAAAAACGCAGACTTAACAAACCCACGCACAGCAAACCCAAGCCAAAGAAACCCATACACTGCAATCGGTCACCGCAAATGCACGCACTCAAAACCTGGACAGAAAAACCAATCCAGTCACCACAAACCCAGGCACTGCAAACCTAGCCTTCTACAAACCATACAGAGACCCAGCCACTACAAACTTGAGCGGCACGAATGAAGGCACTGCAAATCCAGACACAAAAAAATCCAGATACTGCAGACAGCACAAATCCATCACCACAAAGCCAGGGTATTGCAGTCAGTCACCACAAACCGAGGAAACGCGAATCCCAGACACTGCAAGGCCAGACACCACAAACTTAGCCCCTACGAATTCGTGACACGGCAAAGGAAGACACCACAAACGCAAGCGCCACCAAAAAACTCAAGACATCTGAAACCCCAGCACTGCAAATCGAGGCACCACAAACCCGGACACTGCAATCACCACAAACCCAGGCACTAAAATAAACCCAGACACAACAAACCCGTCACCACAATCCCAAGCATCGCAGTGGGTCACCACAAACCCAAACGCCACCACAAAGTCAGGGGTTTGATCCCAGCTTTTGCCAAGAGCAAAGCTAGAAATACAAGCCGAGTCGCTGACATTGTCGCCGTTTTAGAGACGCCGTCGTCGTCGCGCTAGACAGATGCATCGAGAGGGAGTTGGGGGCGTTGGCGATGCGCTGTCGTGAACGTTGCGCGACCCTGTCGTATTTACTGTGGGTGGAGTCGTGGCGAGTCTGTGCGAATGAACGGGCCACCACCGCGGTGGTTCTTCGACATCGCATTGAGGGCCCCCACGTGTGCACGGTGGCTGGCAGGTGAGAAAGTTGGGCGCGCTGCTACCTCAAGTACAAGTTGTTGGGTTTGTTGGGGCCCTCGGTGCAGAAGCAAGAAAACAACGCATGTTGAACTTCTTTCGCAGCGTACGTAGCCAGCCGCGTGAGTTCTACCGAACTCTGATGATTCGATTGTAAAAAAACCCCCAGTTTTCTCGCGCTGAGGATCACGGTCAAAGGAATGGGACGCAGTGGCCACGGGGTACAACATTTGTGAATTTCGGTGGGTGCAGGTTCAGCGCTGACGATGACCGTAGTCTCCTTGCTCGGGTGGGTGGAATGCCTCTCCGGTTAAACGGGGATGCCACTGCCCCCCCCCCCCCACCGTCATCATCAGCAGCGGTGCGGCTGTTGGTCTACATGAGGGGCCCCGAAGGAGAAATTTACTTTTGTAGGGCACCGCATCTCCACACCCCCTTTCAAGCTATGAACTCCGAGTGAGATGACGGAAGGGGTTTAGAGCAG